GTATATGGAGATTTTTATAAAGTGTATTTTAACTTATATATGTAAAAAAAACCACTTGGATTTTAAGAAAAGCTATTAGACTGCAGCTTCCAGCTCTTTTCATTCGGCTCCATATGGACTGAAAATTGTTGCCCTTGGGTCAGGTGAATAATAACACACAAGGGAAATGGATCTGTCCCTGGACTCATCAATAGCATCAGTGTTGTTTCTGATACGTGCCAGATTGGACTAAAGTCTAAAGAAATGAGAAAGTGAATGCAAGCGGAGAAAACAAGTCAATACAAATGATGAGCAAGAGAACTTGGAACCACTCTCCAATGTATTTTTTCTCCTCTGCCTGTTAGCTGCTATTTTGGCACCATTAGATTTGTGATTTACTCGAGTAAGACGACGTTTTGTCAATAACACCCTTAGGGAGAAACTGAACTATGGCAGCGCATTCGATAATAAAAGTATAGTTTCATTGTTTGTATTGGCTTCACCCTTAATCCTGCTTTGAAGATGCTTTGCTGGTGTGGTAAGAAATCTCTAAAAAGGCACAAAGCTTCCTGACCCCCCAAGTCTTCAATGCAATGGAAATAGAAGCGGGACAACAGCAACAAACAGCACAAGACCAATTCTAACTCAGAGTTTAAAAGGATTAGTTCAACCATATCACACACAAAAACATTTCCCAAAGAGAAGTTTAGTGGGATTTTGAAATATCTCTAGCTGGCAAATCTGCTGCTCTGAAGAGAATAGGAATTTTACTGCAATAAAAAAACAAAACAAAACAAACTGGCAGAAAAAATAGCTGCGGATCTGCAGACCTCGCCGCCATAGTATCAGCTGCAACCATGTTGTTTGTGAGTTTGTCTGGGCTGACCCTTAAATGCTATCAAGTGGATGCTGGTGAGTGCAGAAGGAGCGATGAGTTTGCCATGCTAGCTTGTCTGATAACCTGCTGTGGAAGTGTGCATGCCCATGTAATCAGTTCCAGCCTTAATCTGATTTGATTAGTGTGTCCTCCTGGATGAGGAGACGAGATGCGCCCTGCTGGCTCCGGCCCTCGGGCTGCTGTCTCGCTCTCTGCATGAAGTCTCCAAGAACTTGTAATGAGGCCAGCCAAGTCCTTTTCCTCTTGCTTGTCGCAGATGAGCGTGCGTGGAAAAATAAACACAGACAGCACTCTTGCGTACACAAACACCGAAGCACAGAGTGCACCTTATATAATAAAAACAGATATGGATTTGTGGTATATAGAAATAAAATCCTCACTGATCTGCAGCTGAGGATGCATTCAGAATATATTGATCGATATAGCTGTAAAACAAGCAAATAATACAAGTGCCTCAGTATGAAACACTGCAATGCATTGGTCTTCACAGAAATGTTGCATAGCATTAGTTCTGACACATCAGAGCAATTGCTGATGCCCTTCTGATGGCATGCTACGTGAACTGCTTTACCGTTAGTGCAACCCACACCCACCCAAGCACCTACAGTTCATAACGTTTTAACTTAGTCATTGTCAAACCCATAGCCACTAACATCTGCTCTGCTGCTGCCTGCCCTGTGTAGACATGGAAGAATGGGAATGTGTGCTCTTGCCTCCTTAAGCTCCCCAAGTGCATGTGTGGAAGGGCGGGGAGGTCCTAGAACAGAGACATACCACCAACTTCTGTTACTGCAGATAAAGTAGCAATCTCACTTTTGACTCAAGTGATCCTGACACAACACCAGGCCCCTTTTACTTCAGTAGCCTAAATGATACAGTTACTGTCAGTATTTTAATCTGATTCTCTCATTTAGCTGACTGTAATTTTCTATACAACCAAATTTGGATTTAGCTCATAGTCATTCCTCATCTGTTGCACCTCAGGAAGACATGATTAGTAAATCATCTGCCCTCTGGCACTGGAAAGTGGAATGTTTGATTTCTTGAACATGGAAAATAGAAAAGACTGAACTAACCCAGTTAAAATTTATACAGGGAGACATATTACAAGGTGGGCATGCACAAAATCCGAGCCCATCGAGTTGCCACCATTATGAATATTTGGGACTGTAGGACGGCGTGAGGTTTGTCAGTGTTAAGCTTTGATATGTGAACTGTATGTCACACTTAACATGAACTGATTTTAAGTTTAGGGTTTTGGTATTCCTCTGAGTAGCTACTAGATATTCACAAAGAACATCAGGTCTACTGAGTAATCCACTCTACCAGACTGGCTGTTCTCACATACACAGCACAGCTTCCCCTCGCAGGAATGGAGCCATTTAACTGTGACAGTTCAAATAACTGCACGCTGCGCGTGAGTGAGAGACACTGTGACTGAAACGAAGGCTGGGTGGGAGGCAAGAGGTAGAATATTTTCTTCCTCGCTTAAGAGAGTGAGAGACAGATGCTGTTAGGCACTGACTTACATTTCTAATGAGCACAGGGCATCAGTATCCATTAGTGTGAGAACAATCTTCGCCTAAAGACGGAGCTCGGTGGAGGTTCCTGGGCTGGGTAGCAGATAGAGCCGTCAAGCAGGAAATGGTGTCACACACTAAGGAGTAGGGAGCCGCTATGACCTGCGTGTTGGGAAATAAACATCCTGTGACACAGCCAGGCATGTAATGGGAAAACCCAAGCACCAAAACCAGGGATGTATACACAAAAGGCAAACTGAGATTAAATATTGAGTTTAAAAACAAAAGCTGGTGCTTAGTAGTTCACGAGTTTCACTGATGTTTTTTTTTTTTTCATAAATCTTTTAAGGATTTTCCAGTGACTGCTCTGAAAGTAGCAATATTATAAGTTTGAAATTCATGTAATGTGTCACTAACAAAAGTTGAACTATTTAGCTGTGAAATATAATATTAACTTTGAAAATTGCATTTTCTGCCGACTTCCACACAGAACTCTATTTCAAAGTAAAAGGGCAGATTCATAAAGATGAAATATTGCTTTACTAAAGGCGACATTCTCTGTGAGAGAAATGCCTGCTCTGAAAGTGGCACAACATAAAATGCCACATTTGTGGTTGCTTTGAATGGAGCTGTAACAGCTTCTGGACAGACGGAGATGAACCTGCGGTCTCTGCAGGAGGTCTGTGAGGTGGGATGGTGGAGAAACTATTACTCACCAAGACAATTCTCACCCACCTGAATGCAAGGTGTGTGCTGTTTATGATTTACTGTTCAGATGCTGAACGTTTTTATTTAGCTTGCATTATTTGGTTATTTTTAGCTGAGTTTTTATCCTTAGTCAAGATGATCCCACAATGCTTCACTAACAATGGGGAGACCAATCCATGACTGATATATTTCCATTCTGTTTTTATCCAAATTTGCTTTTACTGCATTGCCAGAGTGATTCTTATGTTAAAAAACAAAGCAGGTATTTTAGAGCTGGTACTGAATGGCGGATCTAAATCTGATGGTACTTTTCTGTGTCCATTCCATCAGTTTTGACAGAATCAGCAACACTATTGGCTGACATACAGCTGTGTACTTATTGACCATGACTTGAACCAAAAAATACAAGTGCCACTGATTTACAGTCCAGTTGTTCTATAATTTGGCATATCTCAGCCTTTTCCTCCCGTTTTCCTTCCTTAAGAATGATTCCTTGACAGCCACCTTTCCATTGAGACCATTTCAGGTTGGGGCTTCAGTGAACCGCTGATGGATCAACTGAAGGGACAGATGCATCTCTTGGGTCCTGTGTCAGGGCTTTTCCCTATTTCTTAAGGACACGACTTTCAGATTCTATTCATATGCCCCAGATATTTTTTTTAAGACCTGACAGTTCTTCTTTTGTCCTTGACTTGTTCAGTTTCCTCACATTTTAAAGGACTCACTGCACACCATGGCAGGAGATCCCAAGTTTGTAACTAATTGTGCAAAAATACAATTTTATGCATGATCTTTGGTTAGACTCAACTAAAGAAATGGGGAAAAATATTCTACTTCTAATAAAATGCATAGAGAAATTTAGTCTTAAATATGTTCTTTGTTAAGTTGTCTGTGTCGACACAACACTGGTTGAGTTAGGTGCTTTTTTCTAATGCCTGAGTGATAAGTTACCATAAAGCGGCTTCAAAAACAAACCAAAACATCACTTTCAAAATTTTCAGGTACAAGGACTGCATTGAAAAGGAGTGAAAAAGTAGACAATGACCAAAGGTCTTTAAACTTTTGCTCAAGACCACTTTAAAGAATTGCTGGAGAGTCTGAGAAAAATCGTGAAAAGTTTGGTGGCGTTTGAAATGAAGGACTCGATCTATACTGCGGGAAGCTTGTCATGGTCAACGAAAGGTTCGTAAAGATATCAAGATGTGAGTCTGACTGTTTTTGGAAACTGAGGATTTAACCAAGACATCTGCAGACTGAGATGCACTGGAGAAAAAACCTGGTTAACTCAAGAACCAAGAAAAGGACTGAGGTGAACAGACTGGAAAACACCCACTTAACTTAGTTCCAATATGTCTGGTCCAGACAAGTTGGTTTGGCGAAATCTTGTATCACATATCAAGAGCCCAGAAGAACCCTGGTGCTGGATCTGGGTTTATCAAGCAAACTTTAAAGTTTAAAGCCAAGAATAATTTAGGACCATATTGTGATACTTCATCAAAGTCTGGTAACTTCTCTTAAAATGGTTTTGCGTTAGTGTAGCTGTTTGATACTGATGATCTTAAAGTCTGTGTCCAGATGCAGACTGACACAAAACTCCTTCATATGCCTGTGAATTGAATCCTGCGCCAACATGCGATTTGGTCAGATAATATCGAAGTGCTTTCATTTGTGTTATAGTTAATCTTGTTTTATCTGTTCCATTAAAAACAGATTGCCTCCAGGACCGTTACCTATTAATTATAGCGATGTGTCTTTCATTGTTAAAAGGATTCAGCCTGAGTGACAAATCAGAATCAATGTCTCAGTACAGAGTGAAATTACTATTACTGCTTTTCATCACGAGTCATGTCTTGGACCCTTGCGGTTGTGCTTTGTGAATGAAGAGAGGCACAGTGTAGAGTGGTTACAGTTCTTAAACCTTTAATGTAAACAGCAGTTTTGAGGGGCTTTGAAAAAAATCCTAAAGAAAAAAACAAAACAATCTGAAGGCATTAAATAGGAAGGGGGAGGGGGGAATATATAAATCATACTTAGAAATAACAACCACGATCTGCTTTTAAATTAAAAAAATACATAAACTCTCAATTTTGTGGCCATATTGTCCTGAACATACACAAAAAATGTCAACTTCCCTTGATCAAATACTAACTTACATTTTGCAATACTAACTACCCGGCACGTTCACAATTTTTGTTCTTTTTCGTTTTTCTAAAGCAAAATCACTAAATCGTAGTCATTTTACAAATGATAAACGAAACAAAAGAAAAAAAAAGCTAAAATATTGCTTTGGAATGTTGTGTACAGCAGTCTTTACAACGAGAGACCCAAACGAGCGAGAGACAAGTGTGTGTTTGAGCGCCTGTTGCACAATGGTGGCGCTTTTACAGTTGTTCTATGGCAAAGCCACTGTGTAGGTGTGTACAATAAGCAATAAGCAGTGGTGGGATAATTACATTTATATTTCAAAAAGAGGCTTTTTACTGTGGTACAGTGCCTGGATTTCAAGGATTGACTTTTTCTAACAGTCTCTATTACATGTGAAGCAGGGCAGAGTAGACAGACGACACTAGTTTTTCTCTTTCTGTTTTTAAAAAGTATTCATCTTAAAAGGTAATTCAGCCTCTTGGGAAACACTTAGCTGCCACAATTGTCCTACTGTAAGTGGGAATGTGACAGGAAATACTACTGGGAAGTTGACGCCCCCCTCCCCGTTGACGCCCAATCGTCCTTCCCTGCTCCTGAATCCCACAACCACCATCTTGATCCCTATAGCCTTCACCCCCTAGTGACAAAAGCCCTGAGGAACAATAATAACATGAACATAAAGGAAGGACAATCCAATGGAATTTCTAAGCTTTTTTTGTCCACAATATTCTTGAAGCAAAATGACAGTAAGCGCTGCAGCCAAGAAGAAGAAAAGGGTGAATGTCTTCAAACACCAGACACTGGAGGAGAGTGAAGAAGGAGGAGGAGGAGGAGACGTGGGACGACCAACGACAGGCCAAACAAACACTTCCTGGTTTCTCTTCTCCATGGCAACGTGATGACTCTGCATCGACCCCCAAGTCCCTCAAGTGCAAACAGTTATCGTTAATACGCACCATTTTCTCCCTTATAAACATCTAGCAAGAAGCAAGAGGAAAATAGTTCAAGAAATCCTTTTTTTTCTTTCAATCACAGTTCATTTTTTTATATTATATGTTTGTTTGTTTTTTATTATTTATTCTTGTTCCAGTTTATAAGAAAAGGGGACCGGTCCAGTGAATACAGTGGGTTTGGGGTTTGTTTCGGGTTCGGGCTTGTGGGGTCGTACACCTAGTTACAGTCGTAAACAAAGTCATAGTTGCTAGGCTCTTTGGGAATCGGGGGCGGGGCCTCTGGAATCTGGATGTTCTCTAGATCCAAGAGGCGAAGCTTCATCTCCATAGAGAGCAGGGTGTCCATGTCAGATTTGGTGTATTCGCTGGTCATCTCCTTACCCAGGAGGGCATTCAGACCATCTGTCCACACACAATACTGCGGAGAGACGGGCAGAGGCACGTTAATTAGAATATTCATAAGAATGGTTAAAAAAAAGGTACGGCACAAAGAACAAAACCTCTAAAATCTACTCTGCGAAACAGAGAAGACACCTTCAAAAAAAAAGGCAAAAAGTTTCTACATTCCTCAGCGAAAGCTTTCAGGCATTACACCTTTGTTTACAGCGAGTTATATTTGGCCCCAATCTATAAAAAACCACCAACATTGCAATTCTATTTGCCACATTCCCCAAGGACTATCAGCTATTTATAAGTAGAGCTGTCTTAAAGCCTTTTGGGGCAAACTAAAATGAAGTCAAGTAAACTGGGTCGAGTCATTGTTAAGTCAGAAGTCCAAATAAAGTTCATTCCAAGCCAACGGCAAACAGGCTGGTGCACATCATTTCATATGCAACGTTTAAACAGTTCTAGTTATGCTTTACACGTCAGAAAACATGTTTTTTTCACTTTACCTGCACAAGCTTTATACTTGTTTTTCGATTAAATTATATCTGTCCATAAAGGCATCTCTCCACTATTTAAGTGTCAGCTCTATACCTGCATAAACCATGCATAGGATCTCTATGCGTAATCCCACACGTTCATTCTGTGTGACACTGTCAACAACTGCAGGGTCAGCTTACCTCATGCTTGTCAGGAGCGATAAAATTTAAGTATTCGTCCGACTCGTAGAGGACAGAGAAGGCCAGCTCTAACACCTCCTGCAGAGAGGACAGAGTGAAAAGCAGAGGGAGAATGTGAGGCGGAGAAAATGGTGCAAAGACCGAGCGAGAGTGGAGGAGGTGGGACGGAGAGAGAGGTAGAAGCAAAAAAGAAAAGAAGAAGAAATACCAGGTGAGATTTACAGTACAATGCTGCCATACTAGCGCGATGCTGCTCTCCTCCACGTCCCATCACCATCTGTTATATCAGCTGCACATTAACTCATCCGGTACCAGTGAGATATATGTAGGGATCTTTTTATATTAGCTACTGTAAAATAACAGTAGGGGCTGGGGATCGGGGACAAAAAAGACAAATTCACTTCAGTCTCTTTTATGAAATTAACTGGACGGAGAAGGAGGACAGTGTAGTGACAGAGCCAGATTTGTAGATGTATGCAAGTAATTTATCTGTGTGAAATTAGCGTCTGGTTTTACGAAGCCAGTAGGGGATTACTCAGTCAGAGGCTGAGCCTGGAGCCGAGGAGAGCTTAAAAGAATCTGTGGTCAGATTTGACTCAGAGAGGGAAAGAAAAACAAAGTAGTGCTGAGAGTAATTCTATCTACTCTGTGCAGCCGGTTTAAGCTGCACACTCACACAGTGAGCATCTAAAAGGGCAGTCGTTACTATATTTACCCTCTTGATTCAGTAAAGAACCTGTTATAATTACTTAACTCAAAGAACAGCTGATGGAGTGACTGGTTGTTGGATACTGTAGATCAAGTTATTCCTGAGGATGTCCGTGCATTTCATGAAACAGTTGTTGAGCGTTTCAGCGGTAAGCAGGAAATGAGTGTTATACCCACATTAAATGAACAACATTGTTAGTTTTTCCAGGTTTATGACCTCAAAGCTAATTCCTCTCTTTTTTGGTGCAATTAAAAGACAGATCGTGTTCATTTGTTACCGCTCTGCTTTTCTTTTTATGAACTTATTAAGTGCATGCACCTTTTACTGGTGCTGCAGCAGTCTTTTTGGTAATGGGTTAATTTAATTTCCTCTTTCCCACAATATATATATTTTTAAATAATAAATGTGCACTTGCTTTTTAGATGATGATGATTTTTTCCCCCCACATAAACTGGTCCCATTATAAATCGCTGGAACATTGTGGAAATACAGCAAAGCATGCAATCATCCACACTTGTCATATATCCTCCAATCATTTGTGTGATGCTGTAACGTAACATATCTGGAGGAATTTGGGAGATAATATGGAAACACTTCACACTTCTCTATTCTTCCAGTGTCCCACAAACGGTGCACTGCCTGCTCTGCTCTCAAGTCTGTAGAGGTGACTTTGGCTGGTCTTCTAACAGTGAGTAATGAAATGTGCTTATGTTCTCATTCACAAGGCTGGGACAGGCCTGCTAGACAGCCCACAGACCCCCCTCAGGTCATTCTCCTAGACCTGCGCTTATCGACAAGGTAATAAAAGAGACAAAGCAGAGAGGAGGCGTGCTCCTTTGTCTTCAAGGCTATTTATCCAAGATCCAATATATCGGAGTCCCGTGGGTGGGGGCCGAGGGTTTGCAGAGGAAAAGTACGAACGAGGAAGAGCTGATGTGTACACAGATGCAGACATGATGGCTCTTTCACCCTGGTTGAGGCACCGCAGAGGGCGCGCCCAAACGTTACTATCACACCTTCACAGCGAAGAAAAGATGCCAGCACGTTTTTAGCGCCTCTGGCGTAATTGTCGTCTGTAACTAACGGACTATTCGGTGACTTATTTCTACGCGAGGCCTCTGACGGAGACGCCTCTGTGCAGAGCGCTGAGACGCAAGTTATTGTGTTATTTCCTAAAGCGAAATTATGTAACCGACGTCCTCGTTATGCAACTCTCGCATACACAGGAACTCATTCTCTCGCCTGGATACACACCCACCCGCCCACACACATGCACATGTGCACGTGCATGTGTGTGCGCACGCTCACACACAAACACACACCTTGTTTTGCTTCAGGGCTCCCTTTTCCTTCATGTGAGGACAGTCTTTGCCAGTGATAACAGCTTTGATATCAGCCACAGGCACTGCAGAGAGGACAGAAGTGAGTTTACAACAACGACAACAACAACAACAACATCATCATCCTCTTGACAACTGTGCTATTCCATATGGGTTCTTGTTTTTTTGTTTTTTTTCCTTCAAGTGATTAAAACTTTAAATTTTCCCCAAATCTGTCACTGTGCAAGGCCCACAAGAAAAACTGATGTTAACACTGTCTGTAAAAAGCCAACTGTTAGTGTCGGTGACTGCTGCTCGTCTCTGAATTCGGCAAGACACACATTTTTGCAGGAAATCAACATAAAATACTGATAAATATTTTCCTCTGCAAGTCATTGGGAAAGCAGTTAAATAGAAATTGTGCTAAAATACTGTAAAAAAAACAAACAAACTATTAAAGGTTTTACTCACGTTTGTCCTGTAAAGAGTCATGGGGCACCTCGCCCTGAGGGCTCTCTTCCAGATCTCCGTAGTGCAGGACTTTATGATTCGGAGACAGACGGCAGTACCAAAACTTATCTAGAACAAATGATGAGAAAGACAGGAAGACAGAAGGGAGTAAGAAGCAGATTTAGAGGTGTTATGAAATAAGCAGTAGCTGGCAAAGGCATCACACGGGTATGGATTTGCATGACTCATCAACAGCAGAGAAAATTAGCATGGCAAAAAATATGTGTCAAAAAATAAAACAGCCTTGAGGAAAATCCACAGATGGGCAACGATGATCTCCACTAAGGGAGGGAGGGATCTGGACGGGCAACAACAGAACTGGCGGCCTTCTTCACCGAACAATGACTCAACAGCAGAAAACACGGTCGATTCAAGATCACAAAAGGACATCCAGGTTTCTTTAACTCTCACTCAAAAGGCTCAAAAGAGCATGAACCCTTAACTGTGACCTGATTAAACGAAGTGTATATCCGGTCCTTGGCAGAGACATGGGATCCAAGCTACTTTTCTGTGAAGACTGAGGAAATGAGGTAAAAAATGACAGTCTTTTAATATCAAAAGCTAAGGTTCTCTCTAAAAGGCAATCAAAGCTCACATCCAACATTACAAAGGCTGTCAAAGATAAAGCATCAATTATATCAGCTATATACGACAGCAAAATATTATCTGATTTTTTTTTTTAAAAAGTGGCCTAAAATTAGGTGAGCAAAAAAATTTACTGTGCATAGGTTGTCACATCATTGTAACTGTTAAGAGGACCCTTCAAGTCAAAATCGTGTTGGTGTGTTTTTCTCGTGGCCGCTCTCCTGAGCAATCCCCCAGCAGCTTCAGCACCAGTTGTGTCTGTACACACTGCTGGTTATTGTCTCCATCAGCAGCCTCTGCCTCCAGCCTGGTGTTTGTCGGCCGTTTCCTGGCAAGGTGGGCATCGAGCTGAGCTGGCAGAAAGAGTGCACAGACTGGGGAGTTCGGCTCGGTGCGTGCACAGTCCAAATCCTAATTGTTGAAAATAGACAGTCGGTGCTGCCAGGCCATTGGTTCGAGTGGAACTGGTCCACAGGGAGCTGAGAAGAGATCTGTGCAGTGGCTGTGAGGGGATGGGAGGCTCTCAAACTGCTCATCTTAACTGATAGGGTGTGTCTGTGCAGCAGTGCATGCTCGTCTTCTTGCTGTCTTTGATGTTAAACTTATCTCTCGTATCACTCGTAACAATCACAAAGTCAGCAACCAGAACATTGGTGAGCGATAACGTTTAACAGAATTAGGTCAAATTTTAAAGTTTACTTTTGCATTAAAGCATTTACACAAAGTGCCTGCAGTATCCTGCACTTAAGACGGCACACATAGCACTCTTTCCAACTTTAAAGTGCCATCAAGCTGACCTTTTAAAAAGTGTTTTCCTGTAATGGGCAGCATGGGGAGTAGAGAGAAGATTCAAATGCACTGAAGTCAGCTTAATTAATATTTTATGTCGGGACGAGAGTCTTTGAAATAATCACACAAGAAGCCGTGGAGTGCTGAGGACTGCGTGAGGGGACAGTAAGAGCCCATCTAACTTACTGCATGTATAAAATAAACACTTCCAGCATACAGAGACTTAATAAAGTAATAACTGGGAAATCTGTCTAAGAGAGGCACCAAAGATAAAGGAAAATTTTGACTAGGTAAGCATGATCGCCTCGTAGTGGCATTGCTTTCTTAAGCTTTGCAAGAAGAGGAGCTTCTCACTTTTCAATGCATGAATTTGCTGTCAGTACCAGCACGAGAACAAAGCCTTAGAGATTTAGATAGAGTGGGAAAACAGATAGGAGCAACATGTATTAATGAAGGAAGAAGTAAATAAAGAATCATAAATTCACACGTGCAGAGGAAGGATACAAAGCAAGCCACAGAGAGACGCTGATGAATGGGGGTGCAGGAGTGTTGTGGATAAACGGCAATCTCCTCAGAGTCCTCAGAGGCGATATCAGCTACAGCTAGCTTGTAGCAGGCAGATGACTTGGCTATAGTTAGCGCGCTGTTGCAGCAGATTAAAGCCGGTGGAACCCCACAGGCTGGTGTCAGATCCAGCAGGGCTCCAAAATAGCTTTACATACACTCGTGTTCTAAAAGGGTCCAGCGTGCTTTCTTTTTGTGTAGGATCCACATAGGCTGCGTGTTCCCAGTTCCACTGAGAAGCTTTCTAGGATCTCTGTGAAGTAATGATGACCATGATATGGTAATATGAGCTCAATCACAGCATGCTGCTCCGGAAAACCTAGACAAGCGTAAATCAGTCGGCCACAAGCAGCGAAGAAGATCAGACACTTAATCCGGCTGACGGTTTCCACCTGAACGTCTGTCCTGAATAATCTTTTCGACTTCTCCGTTTCCGTCATCCGGCTATGACAACATCTGGATGACAGCTGCCAAGATGAATGCATCAGTGATCAGGTTTTAAAATGCCAGAATAAATTGGTGCATGGAGGGAAAAAAAAGAAAAAAAGGACGAGGTCTAAACTCAGTCAGTCAGTTTGATTTGCCTTATTGAAAAGTACAGTTCCTGCAGGGTAGCTTCTGACAGCAATGCAATAACAGCGAACCAAACCACATCCTAAGCTTGTCACTGGGCTCCTTTTTTTAATTTAATGTATTTGTAGAGGCAAAAGTGGCAGAGAGGGGTTATGGAAAGGTGGGGGGACAGAAGAGTGAAGGGATGAGGCCTCAGGCAGATTAAATCCTCTGTGAGTGAAGAGCAGTATATTATACCTGCTACTCCTCTCTTTCCCGCTTCTCTTATTCCTCTCTGCTCCTTCTCTCTCGTGGCAGCGAGTGTGAAATGCGATATTAGGTGGAATGATTTGAATGCAAGCAGTCTGCCGGATTTTCAATTTTTATTCCTTTTGCTCTCATCTCCATTGTGCTGCTTTAAATGGGAGCGTCCTAATATCTCCTGAACAACACACTCGTGTTATTCTCTAAAGGCAATACACCGGGTTGATATTTTCACCACATCCTCTGTAGTGTAGAACTGGGGATTATCACAGTCATCTTTCATTCTTTCCATTCAAAGCTTTCCCCTCAAATGTGTCTGAAGAAGAGCAAACAGAAGTGTGTTTACAGGGCTTTTGGCTTTATGCGCCTCTGCATTTGTTAGCGCGCCCTTTCCCTGTATGTGCAGAAGCAAAAGGAGACGGAAGACGCCGCGCGTGCACCTCAAGGCAGACACGCGTGTTCCTGCTTTTCTGTATGCAGCGAGGAGAGAGGCAGAGTTTCACTATGTGTCTGCCTCAAAGGCTCAGAGAGCCAGAAAACTTCTGAGCGATCATGACGGCAGACGCACAGCAGTCCACAGCTTCAAAGATCCCCCTCAGATAAAATATCTCCTGTGGTGTTTTCACATGGAAAAGAGAATAAGGCGATGGAAACAGAGAACAGAAGAAGACAAAGGAGGAAACAGAAGCAGATCTTTTGTGGATGCAAGAGGCGTGGCAGTGGATTCTGATGCGTATGACCAAAAGTCACGTTTGTATGGTTGTAAATTCGTGTTTGCTCCTGTGCGCGTACATGTGTGTGAATGCTGCGCCTCACCTTGCCTCCTGCGGCTGCTGATTTTCCTGAAGCAAGTGCCCTCACACAGCCTGTTGAGCCTCTGCTGCTTGATCAGTTCCATGATCTCCGGCTGGATCTTTTCTCTCAGCTCCCTGCCGAAAAACAAGCACACACCCTTGCTTTAAGAGAATTGTTTAAATCCCGTTAACCGCACCCGGTGTGGCGAGCCGGTGACAGCGAAGTCACAAGACCCTCCCAGTCAATAAGATTGTTGGAAATGAAACAGAGAGGGCCAAAACACACAGACATACACTTTCACAGCAAATATGTCACAGCATCTCGTGAGGTTGGATCAGCGGAAACCTGTGTTTCTGAAGCATCTGCTCGATTTCCTCTCGTTTATTCATGCAGCTTCATGTATGTGTGTTGTTTCCGTTGCATACGAATGCAGAGCACACAGCACCGGTCAACATGAATTATGTATATCATCTGCCTGAGCAGTGCCGCTCTCCATCATTATTACAGCCGAGTCCTTTCTCATCACATTTACTATACATTTGTTTTCTACCGTAGAAATATTACTGACTGTGAGAATTTTATGTTTCGGCGTTCCTGATCGCATCGTCGTCTTCCTTCGGGCTCACTCGCTTATTCCTCCCTTCATCCGTCTCCCTGCTTGGCCCTCCCTAGGCATGTATTTGCCTCATTGGTGATTCCAGTCATTACACCGATCTGTGTTAGGACATTCGCTCTGACATCTTTAAAGAAACAGCTAGTGAGAAAGGCATGGCTGGGAAAGGATGGATGACGATAGCTCGTCTTTACCACTTCATGCGCCGCGCTCATGACTGAGGTCGACACGGGCGAGGCTGCTTTTGCCTGAGAGTTTCAGATTACTTTGTTGCTTCGTCTTTTCGGGAAGCAGCTCCTCAGTTTTAATTTGAATCCATTCACCGAAAATTGAACGTCTTGTATGAACAGACCTCCGCAAAAAAGGCACTGTGGTTGTTAACAAGTGTTTAAATGATGAAAGCAATGAGGCACGGGCCTCCTGGTAATGTACACTTGGCCACTTATTACAATTGAATTAAGGTGTAGATTTTGTACATCTCAAATTACATAAAATAATAAGCTCAGAACTTCCACAAAGACGGGCAGCTTTGAAGTGAAGTGAAAGTGTCGCTTCACCTTCTTTTCATTTAACTCATTCCCCCCAATAATTTGTAGTAGAGAAGTGCGAGCGGTCGCAGCGTGTAAAGCAGGGCTCGTTTAAATATCTGGTCTGACGTGCTCAGCTCATTGTGTTTACAATTCTTAATCGTGCTGCAAAGATTAGAGGAAAACTCCGACGGCAGTCTTTAGAAGAGGCTCTGCGATGCTCAGCTCTTCTCCACAGCTGTGATACAGTTTTAAAGTGTGCCGTTTCATTTTCACTTGGCTTTAAATCACTTCACATAGACTGGGTGCATCTCATCTTTTCCTCATTAATGAAGGACGCAGCAATGAATTGGTGTGTGCTAGATTAACCAGGAAAGTGATTCAAACCAATCTGTTAAATATGATTATATAAAAACTTTTGTGCAACTTTCTTTATTTTGTGTTGCTTTTTTCACCGGGTTTAATTGCTTACTAAAGTTTGGTCTCTACCCCTCCAATATTGATTCAATAAGCCCTTGCCTAAGGCATTGTTTACTCTTCAAAGGGACAAGCTCTCTTGATGCAACGATTTTTCAATAGTGCTACCTACTCCATTAAATACAGGCAGGACAAAACAATGCTCTTCATCACCGGACCTGCATCATTGAATGAGTGATCTATTACAGGCTAGCTCTCCGAGCGCAGTGAGCAGGAGGGTCATTAATGGAGTATTCATTTGGAATACCGTTTGCAATCAATTTGAATTTTATGTATATTTTCAATTACAAGAGCAAAGCGCAGACGCAACCTGCTGTGGGCCAAGTTGGAGATCAGGAGAAAAGTACTACAGCTATTTGTAGACACATATTATGCTCTCATGCACTTCCATATACCAGCAGGAATATCACCTAGCTGTAGTTTTCATTGTTTTCAGAGTGGCTTTTCCTGCAAAGCTCTACAACATGAATGAATAAAACATTAGTAGCTACTATTCATATTAAATAAAGCATTTGGCTGCTGCTTTTGAGAGCTTTGGTGTAACACTTCAAACAATATAACCCTCTGTCAAATGCATGCTTTTGTAAGTTTGGAGTTTATGCAAAAAAACAAAACAAAACTCAAACAAAAAAAATGACTGCATGACTCACAGGATGGGGCGGGACTGGAAGTCTTCCTGATTCATCCTTTCTGACTGACGTATCTTCAGGATCTCTGTGTAGCTCAGGTTCTGCAGGCGGCTCTTGAACTGGTCCAGGGAATTAGGCTTGGCAGTGAGTGCTCGCATGATCTGCTCCCTCACCACCTGCATTACCTGCACAGCAGAGCAGAGAAGCAAAAGAGCGCAAGATGAGATTATAGAGGGTGCAGGAGACATAATGGGTGAAGACAGAGAGCGTGTACTACATCTAAAAAGACACAGGAAGTCAAAATCACCCCCCTGACTCTAACCCCACCCAAATTTTAGGCTCAGGGGAGCGTTTCACTCCAAAAGGATTTATGCCTTTTATTTTTTCCAGAACTTGAGCTTCTAATCCAGTCTGGTTCATTGGGCATCAAGTAGAAAAAGAGCAAAGGAGATCAGTTTAGCAGTGGGTAGTTGAATAAAAGTATCGTATATCGGGGAAATACATGACAGAACTTGTTCACAGTATTAAAATTCAGCTAAAACCAGTTTTTTGGAAATGGGTGCAGAAGCGCGATAGGAGTGCTCTTCAAAGTCATCAAAAGCATTTCTGGATTATTTATTTTAGAGCATCTGCACACTGTCTGAAGTGAGCAATGACAAAAGAGACAACAAAGCCAGATCAATAAATGACCTCTTAACTGCTCGTGCAATAAAAATGAAACGCAGTAATTGATGTGTTGGTGTGCGGAACACGCAAGAAAACTAAAAAAAAACACACGCAAGGAAATTCTCTGACAAATGAAGAGCTTACACAAGTTTCTATCATGACATAACAAAAGTGCCAGAAACCATAAAGAATGGTTAAAATCACACAAAAGCTAGGACGAGTAATAAACCAGGTTTATGACAGTAACACGCTGGCTATGCATATAAAAGCTCTTCATCCTTCTCTAGTCACACTGAAGCATTTTAGAAAATGAGTCCTGTGCTCAAACACTGGATGACAGCTGCTTCCATTTAACTTTGTGCTCTGACAAGTGATTTGCAGTTTGCATAATTAGAACGTTAACACTGGTGTGATCCAAAGATCCTGAATTTTCTTGATCTGCGAACGCATTTTCCCAACACACGAAAAAGGAATCTGACTGAAAACGTCCTGAAAAGTTTCAAACAGAACATTCAAAAAGAGAGCAGCTTTCATTCAAAAACACTTTTTACCGTTTCTCTCTGGCTAAGCACTGCTCCTCCACTAACTGGAGATGATGTGACGGCAGATACGATGACAGATCAACTTTGTCAGAAGCGCCGTTTGAGCCTGCAGATGCTGATTCGCTAGATCGAATCACACTGAGGTGATGCAAAGAAATAACGTCCGCCTTCTGTTCTCTTTGATTTGGCTTGATCGAGTGCTTAAGAGCACACTTGTTTCCAGCCTCTGGAGACGCTTTCTTACAAACTTTATTAAATTAGGAGATGATGAGAGTTTGAGATCATGTTTTGTGCTAACACGTGCACAGAACAAATGGATACTTCTACATTCGTGATCGGTGAAATCTCTCAGCTTCCCATTCTTAACAGCTATGCCAAAACCCAGCTAAGATCCCAAACATCGTCTTACGTAATATTATTCTTGTTTGTTTTTACTGCAAAGCGATTACTCATCAACTTGCTAACCTGTGGCCTCACACTACTCAGATCGAGGGGTGAGGGCATTAAAAATAGGTTGGACTTGGTGAAAGTGTAGCAGGCACAGAATAAACCCCAGCTCGGCACCAAAAAACAAAAACACTCCAGATGACGCAGGCGATTGAAGTTAATCCTCTTAGATCAGAATCAGCAGTACTCTGTGTTAAAAAGCATTAAGAGGAGGCCTGGACCCAAAGTCTCCTGTGGGGAAGTTGGAGCAGCTCAGCAATATTGCCAGAAAAAGAACTTAACCCATGTCTAATTCTAGATCTGATGGAGTCTCGTGGTAAAATGCTGGTATTAAGCTTTCACCACAAAAAAGTATTTTTGTAACCGATTACAAACTTTAATCTGGGGATTAACTTTTGGAATAAAATATGTTTGGAGGCGGTAATGACTGACTTCCAAACTAATGGGCAACAAATTAATCCTGGGAACTAAACACATGCAAAAAGGTGACAAGCACGGAGACAAGGAGTGTCAGGAGGTCAGAGAGGGAGTTACACAGAGCCGCAAGCACACTGGCAATGTTACAGCTGGCCTCTGAAATTAGTACATTTAAGCGACCAGATATGACAGGCCATTAGATTCCTCTGAAGAATCACTTACAGAGCTGAGACTTTGACCATATGCAGTGTGATTCATTTACAAAGCCCAGACACAGACTCGCATTAGTGGATTTGTGGTTTTTCTCTAATATAATCCAAATCTAAGTGGCACTATAACTAATGCAAAACATCAACGACTGTACAAAAGTGCATCCTTCAAATCCCCCTTAACGGAGCGCATAAAAGCCAAAATCAGGATCTTTGGTTGGTCACAAAGAAGCTCCGTACTGGATGAAGATAAAGCCCATTTATGCAACGTATTGACCTCATTATTTCATTTTCATAACAATCCCGACAGCTGTGCACGAGGGCTCTTTGAAACCAACATGCTCACTGAGTAAAAATGTTGTGATTTACTATATTTAAAAAGAACTGCATGGACAATGTGGCTTCTTCTAGTGATGAGATATGAATCTCTTTACTAACTGATGTGCAGTAGTGCAACATGAACAGGTTAAAAAACGTAAACGTCCCACCCCAAAAAAGTGTGTCCACTAGAGGGCGAGCGTTGATGTTTTCCCTCTGCACCAGTCGGGACTAAATTGACATAAATCCATGCACATCCATATTCCCACTGTTGGATGACTTCTCCATCTGTTTTTCCATGTCCTGTCCTCACCTGTGCATCCTCATAACATGAATGCCATATTTTCACAAGGTGAAACAGGCGTCCAGGTTGTGACAGGTTTACAGCACCCCGAGACTGCCTTTTGAGCTTCAGCCCCTCACCCCAGCCTCCTCCTCATCCTCCTCTTTGAGCTGAAAATTGCAAATGGATGAAGCCACAACTTGCAATCACGCTACCAGAGATTCATCACTTCTTTCCCCTACTTTTAATCACACCCTCACCGACTTCCCCATCATTTTTTGCACACACACGCCTATAAAAGTGATAATTAAGCCTAAAATGAATTTATTTCCCCATTAGGATTACAAATGAGGTGTCAGGTTGCCATTAAGGAACATTATGTCACTAAGAATCTGTTTAAAAATAAAGAAAATAATAAAACTGTGACAAAAACGGTTGCAGTTGGAATCTGGAGTACACTGAAGACCACCCCTGAAATGACGTTTTCGAATCTTCTTGTCACCTGTAGCCTGCTTTCTCACCTAATCTCAATCTCCAGGGACAGACCGCCATCCAGCTCTGGTGTTTCAGCCCAGCTGTCTCTGGGGATTGTTCATTAATATGCCTTGTTTGCAGTCATGTCTTCACCGGGAAAACAATTCTGTTGGCCCATGTGGCTGCTCTGATGCTAATTAACACTGCGAATATTCATCACATTTAATACGAACACATGGTCCTTTCACAACAGGGCATTATGAATATTTTATCTTCATCCTTCTCTGTTATCCACCGATTGCTCAGAGAGCACCTTGGCAGAGGTGAGATGACGTCAACGCTGAAACAAACTTTTTACCGCCTGAGCTGAGAAATCCTCAGCACCAAATTTAGGCTCCGCTTTTGGAATGGCGTCATCTTAAAGTACACTTTAGATGATTTAAGTGGCCAATCGTTCATCCCGGTCGTCGCCTCTATCTTTATTTCTGCCTCTCTCCATTTTCCCCCTCATGCACTAATCTATTCTAGACAACAGTCAGCGATTCTTACTTGTAGCTCTTTGCAAGAGAGAAGTTGGACAGCAGAGTAAGAGTCGGCAAAAGTAATTAAATGCTGTCCCATGAGCCATCAAGTCCATGTAATGAAGAGCCGGCCACTGACGCGTCTACCACGCTCCCATCTCCTCGTCCTTCTCCTTTCTTCTAGTCGGCTTCTCCATCATCGGCAACGCCTCAGCCGGAACAAATTACCTTCCCCCTCTCAACGACCAATCGACTGTCACCGCCGTTCCATTTGCCTGAGAGATGCTAATGACATCATTTACCAGCTGCCAGTCAACTGCTCACCCGCCACTCATGCCTGTGTGGTAAAAACTGGAGCTTGTCCTGGTAAGACTTTGGTGGGCAAAGTAACAACGCAGTAATCACAGAATAACGACTTCGCTGATAACTCAGTGAAAGCAATCAAAAAGTCGATCTCACACGGTGCCAATGAGGCCGTAAATGAAGAAGACTAACCATGCACGCTTGCTCGCATACAAAAGGAATGTACGCCAGCACGTGTTTGTGCAATAATTATCTGCGCATACAAGTTCATTCCCGTCAGATTTGGGGTTTTTAAGTGACTAGCAGAAAAAAAATTAATAAAGGTGATCCTTCATTACATTTCTCCTCCCTGCAACGATGTCCCACATTCAGTAAACAATTATCTTCTTGAGAGCTGACCATGATGTCATTGAAAGTAAAACAATGCCACAGAGATGGACATTAAAAGATGCCCGTTTCTTATCACGCTGCCTGGAGAGGGGAGGTGGGTATGGTTTGTATTAAATTTAAAAGCTGATAAAAAGGCAGAGTTTAAAAATAAAGAAAAAATATAAATCTGTATGTGGCTGAAGATTTATAGGTAGGATACGACTTACATCAAAGCTGTAAAACATCCTGGGAAAAAACATCAGTATCGATGATGCAAGCTGCCTAGTTTATTAAATCCATATTAAGACGAGCTTCCTTTGTGAATACAGACATTGTTTCACTCTGGTTTCTGTTTCCGAAATCATAGTGACAGTAATCTTTGCCAACAATGCCAAATGTGCGGTTTCTTGCTCTAACTCAGCCCTGCAGCTTGTGTGAGAAGACGTTTGGGGAGGCACGACAAAACACAGATCTCCGTCTGACAGGAGTCAGACAGCACAAACACACTGGCATAGTGTTGTGCTTTAACTGCTTCGCACTGGTCTGGAGCACTGAAAGCTTGAGCTGAAACAACGACTGCGTGCTAGCTGCTGTCAGTGGCATACATGTGCTGGTTACAGAGGGGACAACTGAAAG